GTTCATTGTTGTCATTCTTCACCACCGTCATGCCACCCTTTTTAGGCACACATTGAACTGGGCTAACCCAGCTACTGTCAGAGATTGGGAAAATGATTCCCGCATCCAACCACTTTATCACTTCCTTCTTCACCACTTCCTTCATATTCGGGTTCAGCCTTCTCTGATGTTCTCTGGAAGGTTTGTGCCCCTCTTCCAGCAGAATCTTGTGCATGCAATAGGCGGGGCTGATCCCCTTGATGTCTGCCATGGTCCACCCAATGGCAGTTTTGCACTCCCTTAGTACCTGTAGAAGCTGTTGAACCTGCACATCTGACAAACCAGATGACATAATAACAGGTAGTGTGGAGTCAGGACCCAAAAATTCATACCTGAGGTGGGTTGGCAATGGCTTTAGTTCCAGCTTAGGTGGTTCCTCGATGGATGGCTTAGCTGGAGGGGTCTCTCTCTTTTCTAAGTGTAAGGGCTCAAACTCCAGATTTCTCTCCCAGAACCCTCTACCTTCCAGTGCCAACACCCATTCAGCCAAATCCTCACCATTCACTTCATCCAAATTTGTCAAACATGCAGTAAGGGGATCCTCAACCGTCAATGCCTCATCATCAGACTCTACAATTACATCCACTGCATCAATAAGAGAACAATTTGCGAACTCACTTGGTCGCCTCATCGATTTCTGCACATTGAATATAATTTCTTCATCATTGAGCCTCATCTTGAGCTCCCCAGTCTCGCAATCAATCAAAGCTCTCCCCGTGGCCAAGAAAGGTCGTCCTAAAATTATAGGAATTTCTTCATCCACTTTGCAATCCAAGATTACAAAATCTGTAGGGAACACGAATTTCCCCACCTGAATAAGCACATCATCAAGGATCCCAAATGGACGCTTCACAGTCCTGTCAGCCAGCTGCAACAACATAGAGGTAGGTCTAGCTCTCCCAATGCCCAACCTCTTATAAATAACCAGGGGCATGAGATTAATGCTGGCCCCTAAATCACAGAGTGCCTTAGCAAAGGCATAGTTCCCAATAGTGCATGGAATTGTAAAACTACCTGGATCAGATAGCTTTTCAGCAACAGGTCTAGATACCACTGCACTACAAGTCTGAGTAAGTGTCACTGTCGACAAGTCTTGAAAGTCAAACTTTCGAGACATCAAGTCCTTCATCATTTTAGCGTATCCCGGCATCTCCTTTAAAGCTTCAATCAGTGGAATGTTTACCTGGATTTGTTTGAGCATCTCCAGGAACTTTTTATACTGCTCCTCCTTTTAATGCTTGGCCAACCTTTGTGGGAATGGTGCAGGAGGTCTTTTCTTCCCAATCACTTGAGATTTCTCTTTCTCAGCTACTGCTTCAACTAATAGTTCAGCTACTGTCTCAGTCTCTTACTGCATATTCTTTTCTTCAGGGGCGGGCCGGACTGTTACCTCTGTCAATCCCGTAGACTCATCCTATATCTTTTCTCGAGCTCTCTCTTGCTCAACATCTAGATCCCTGCCATTTCGAAGACTCACCGCCATCAGCTGCTTTGGGCCCTGATCTTTTGGATTGATTTGGGTATCTGCAGGTAATGTCCCTTGAGGACGATTGTTAAGTGACATTGAAATCTGGCCCACTTGTACCTCAATATTTTTGATAGCTGCATCATGTGCATCCACCCTTTCATTTATCTTAGCGTTGGACCCAATAACCTGCTGCATCATTGCTTCAAGTCTTGCAAACCCGTCTTCCTGTCTTCCACCCTGCTGTTACTGAGGTGGGTGGTACCCTTGCTGCTGATTGTTGTACCCCTGTGGTCTAGGATACGGTGCCATGTTGTTGGGGGGTCTCATGCCTCCCATGTTTCCGGCGTTATACTGTGGTTGCGGTGGCCTGTACTGCTGCTGAGCCTGCTGACCCCAGTTCTGATTACCTTGCCTCTGACCCCCATAGTTAGCCACATAGTTCACATCTTCAGGGTGCTGATGATGATGATCATGCTCTGTATTCCAAGGATTACCAATTGGCTGGCTAATGCAAGATGTGCACAAGCCCCCATTGATAGTATCTACTATATGAACCTGCTATTTCTGCCCTGATTCCTCCACCTTTTTGGTGAGGATGCTCATTTGTGTCAAAAGAGTCGCCATGTTTTCAGCCATTGTATTAGAAGGATCAAGAGGCACTGAGTGCACCACTGGAGTGATAGGTGCATTCCTAGATGTCCAACCCGAATTCTGCGCCATCTTGTCGAGCAAATTCTGACCTTCTCTCCAAGTCTTGCTCAAGAATGCCCCACCAGCCGAGGCATCAATGATATTCTTCAAGCTGTGTGACAGTCCCATGTAAAACCGTTGTCCCAACATCTGTTCTGGAACACCATGGTGGGGACACATAACCAACATTCCTTTAAACCTGCCCCATGTCTCGTGTAGTGTCTCCATTAGTTTCTGTTTGAAGCTCACAATCTCATCAATTTGTTGAGCAGTTTTGTTGGGCGGATGGAACTTGTTGTGAAATTGCTTGACCAACTCATCCCAAGTTGCTATAGAGTTTATGGGAAGCGAGTTTAGCCAAACCTGAGCAGCTCCTGTCACCGAGAAGGGGCGGTTTTGTTGGGCGCAAAAATTTGATCACGCCCAACTATGCCCTCTAAAAAAGACTCTGCGGACGTTGCAAATATAACCCGAGTATTACGCCCAGGGTCGAATCCACAGAGAGTTAATCTATCAACCACTATCTTCAGACCCACTAATTCTTCTGAACCAGCTTCCCAAATATTCAAATCTCAGTTGAGTGTTCTTTAACAACTAGCTTGCAAGTAACTAAATAGCTGTAAACTAAATTAATAAGGTTGTAAACAATTATGAGGAAGAGCTAAGGCAATGATTTCCCCTATTGATGGAATCCCTTCTGTTTATGCTCATACAAATTTACCCACACATCTCTATCAATCATGAACGCTAATCTTACCGTAAATCTCTCCCGAGTAATCACAGTAATCTACTATTGCACTCTCCCGAGATACACTAGCTTACTTTATTTAGCACAATTCACTTTAGATTACACCCAAAGCTTCGTTATCCCTAATCCCGCCTTTAAACCCGCGATTATAGATTCCTCTTATACTTTGGGAGTGGTGTTGTTCAATAATAACCTAAATATGCACTCTTTTCCAAGTTATGCACACTAAATAGGCACAGCTAATTGAGGATCCTGTCAATTAACTACAACGAACACGAAGTTGAACAAATAGAGATTAAACTAGCAACTTGTATTCACATAAACAAGAAGTTCATCACCCAATAGGTTCCATCAAAACCTTAGACAAGGAATTTAGCTACTCATGGCTATGGGAAAAGAAACTAAGATTGAATTCATCATAAAAATCAAAAGAAGAAAGATGTTTAGAGTATTCTCTCACAATGGTTTTCCTTGCTAAGAAACCTTAAAAATTAATACATGCCTCTCTTGGGCGAAGTCTAATGTTTTAAATAGGGTTTAGGTCTAAAAATCCCGTAATTGACACTTTGGTCCCTGTATTTTTTGCGCCTGCCGAGGTTCTGCCGCGGTCGCGGTAGAACCGCGGCCAAACACCCTCGCGGATTCTCTGATCTTCTGAAGCTGCTTCCCACCGCGGTTCTGCCGCGGTCGCGGTAGAACCGCGGTGGATCCAGTACTCTGAATTTTCGGCCTGTTTTGCAAGGTTCATTTGGGAAATTTCACAGTTGGCCTCTTTTTCATCACTTTTAACTCCAAAACTGCTCCTTAGCCTTCCTTATACATATATCACCTACAAATCATGAAAAGCACTAATAAGAGCATTTTGTCATCACTTTTAGCATTAAAACTACACAAGAAGGTGATTATTTAATGGTGTGATTATAGTCAAATTCACCTATTATCAGTATCCGATCTTGGATACATTGTTCATTCTTCCTGGGTCTCGATATGAGGGGCTCCTGGCCTCGATTATATCACGTCGAACCGTGCTTCCCCTTCGTTCTCTCATCGGGGAGTTGGAAAAAACTCTATCCCCGATTTACCCCGTACACAATTAGTGTACGTAGCAGTCATTATTTGTGTTGTTTTTGCAAAAACAAAAAATAATTGCCTTTTTATCTTTCAAACTATTTTTTCCTTTTAATGTTTACAACAATAACAACATATCCAGTGGGGTCTGGAGAGGATAGAGTGTATGTAGATCTTACCCTTACCTTGTGTGAGGTAGAGCAGTTGTTTCCAATATACTCTAGGCTCAAGAAAAATGTTTCAAAAATAGGTTAGGAAATAATGGCTATGATTAAAATACTGACGATTCTTGTTTGGATGGTTGTACCTATTGTATCGTATCGTATTTTTCTTTTAAATACATGTTTGTTTTAATTGTTACTTAAATTTTATTTTATCGTATCATTAAATCCGTCGTTATGTAACGATGAAAAGTGTCACTTTATGTAACGAACGATTTGGTGTGGTCGCATCGTTATCTTGTTCTTTTCTCTCATCTTGCCCTTCCTTATTATTAAATAATTATATTTTATTTTTTATCCTATCTTTTATATAATAATTCAACCTTTTGCCCTGTTTTTTCTTTGTAATATTGCAAGTTTATGATGATAAACATACAATATATTCAAATATTGTATTCATCAAAATAATATACTACAATACGATATATTATGAAATGACATGTAATAAATAAGCGATTAGTGAGTATAATCTCATTTTTCAAAATCATATTTTCAATTTTTAACTGACCCAACTCCAATAAAGTCCAAATCAAACAAAAAATTAAACCAAATCAAATTATTTTAGTTCAATTTCGTATATTTTTAGAAATTGAACCGAATGGACAAATTTGAGGCGCCAAAACAGGGAATTAAATAAGCATTATTTGAATAATGGCACTAACACAAGTGGCGACTATTGCAATGTGTCGTTATATATATATATATATATATATATATATATATATATATATATATATATAGTATATAGTACAGACATAACGCAGGCTTTTAATATAGAATCTCATCTTCGTCCCATTTCCCAATTCAAATTCTAGTATACTATTAATATTATCACACCATTAGTTCGCCCCAACTACTATGTCCTAAACGTACGTACAACTACAAGGGGTCCAAAATCCAAAACTTAAAATTACTTCATCGCTTTGGGTTTGGTTCTGTTTCTGGTTTTGTTCTTACATTTGATTTGGTGAGTGAGACTTTCTTTTTCTCCTCTTATTTTTGGCATCTGGGTTTTGCTCCTCTGATTTGAGGTCATTGTTTTTGTTTGTGTACGATTATCCTGTTCTCTCCTGTAAATTAATTGGGTCTTTTTAGTAATCCATAAACCTGATTTTGAGGGGAAATATTTGGGTTATTTGATGAAAGTTTGTGTCTTGCTGGTTTCTTCAGTGTGTGTGTGTGTGTGTGTGTGTTTTCGCATTCTTTAATTTTCTGAGCTATGAATATGGTGTTTTGATTAGAGCTGCATTGTTTTTGTTTGTGTAGGATTATCTTGTTCTCTCCTACAAATCAATTGGGTCTTTTTAGTAATGCATAAACCTGATTTTGGGGGAAACTTTTGAGCTATTTGATGAAAGTCTTGGTGTTTTTTTCACTGTGTGTGTGTGTGTGTAAACTTCTAGGTTTTCGGATTCTTTAATTTTCTGAGCTATGGGGCTATTTTGATGAGAGGTACAGTTACTAATTTTCTGCTCCCCATTTGTGCTCCTTTTTGCTGGTAAAATTATTACTTAACGAATTGCATGTTTTTTGTTCATTCTTGGAGATATTTTACTTTATATGTTAAAACCCTTAATCAGACCCCAAATTAGGATATGCTTTTGCCGTTAGATTTGTTATTCTTTTACCCCCATTGGCCCACCAATAAAGAAAAAAAAGGTACTTTTCTGCATATTATTTCCTTTACTTTTTTGTGGTTCCTTTTTTGCAGATTACTGTTTCAAAGTTTTTTATGCAGGAATCAATTCTTATACTTCTGGAGTGTTTGATTTTACTTGATTCTCTTCTATGTTATATCTTCTGTTCCATTAATATGAACATAGTGGTGACTCTGTTCACTGTGTACGAAGTGATTGAGCATGTTTAGACAAGATTCCAAACGAGTCTTAAAAACGAACACCTAATTTTGTTTTAATTTGGAACACAAATGTTAAGCTGCGGATAGTCATGTATTTTTCCTTGTTGGATTCTTGGGTTTTGGTTTATTAGTATTTTCTTCTATATATGAATGTATGAATTAGTTGGTAGCGAGCGACACTGCTATCGTTACATTACCAATGTTTGAGAAATGTCTAGAGTCTGTTGACTGATGGAGAGATTCATATCTATACGATTTTGTTCACCTTCTCTTTTATTGGGATGCCTGAAGTCTAGCTGTAATACCAATAACTATTGTCTTAAAGTTGATGAATAGTCAAAGGTGTGAAAAGAAATAATATAGGCATTGGACAGAATTGAGGAGAATTGAGCAGTATAGGATAGCACCATACCACAAATCACAACTGTAATTTTCTTCTGTTTTGACTCTTGATGACTGCAGTGCTCTATCTTGTAGATAAAGCATTTTATTCCCTTGTAAATCAAAGAACTTCAGGTTTCTAGCAGAGACGTATTATGAGGACGCTATTCAGCTAATTGTATGACAAAAGAGGAGAAAATATCAGATAGGCCTTTCAAATCCTTCCTTAACGATAATAAATTACAGCTCAGTTTTGTATCAGAGTAGCAATATCCAGTTCACTGAAGAAATAAATGCCCTTATTATTATGATCTAAAAGAAGAATGTCTAGATTAGTGGGAAGGAAAATTGATTCAGTCTCGTGATCCTCGTCAGGGAAGGCAAAATTTTAAAATGTATTAGGGTCAACCTTGTTCCAGGTTTTCTTATACTTGGATAATCCTGTGTGCTGTTTCTACTGATATAGTAATAATTACCAGAAGCTCTCTATCTTTTCTTTCTTGTTAATTTTCACCAGTTTTTGGCCTACATGAATCTTGTACTTGTCTATGATGACTTTTTGCATTGGAGTTTATTCTTCTAATGACTGACATCATCTTTTATACATACTTAAAAGGTAGGAAAATGCCTGAGAAAATTACAGCTGAGGCTCTTCTGAACAACATTGTGGAATCAATTGCTGATGGGCTGTCGAAGCAGAAGTCGGGGTCCTTCTTTGAAGAGGAGAAATCAACCTCGGTTAATGCTCAGCTCAATAGGCTATTTGGCCGGCAAAAGCCAGTACACCATATTTTAGGTGGAGGCAAATGTAGGCCACCTATATACCTTAGCTCTCCTTTGTCCTTACTATGGTTGTATTACCAATCCTAAATATGCTTCAACCGATTTCTAGCTGCTGATGTGCTGTTGTGGAGGAACAAGAAAATTTCAGCTGGTGTTTTAGCAAGTGCCACAGCCATCTGGGTGCTATTTGAGTGGCTGAACTACAATTTTCTTTCACTGTTATGCTTTGCTCTTGTCATTGGTTTGATTGCTCAGTTTCTTTGGAAAAATGCCTCCGGCATAATGAACAGGTAATACAACCTAACCTGTTTCCTGGGCAATATCCTATTCTCCTTTCTTATTCTCATTTATCAATTGGTATGATACTCTTGAATCAAGTTAATGGCGATGCAATCTTTTTGACAACAGGTCTCCAGCTAAAGTCCCTCGTCTTGTCTTACCTGATGACCTTTTCATCAGCATTGCCAAGTCTATAGGTGCTGAAGTAAACCGTAGTTTGCGCTTCCTTCAAGATGTTGCCTGTGGGAGTAACATCAAACAATTCTTAGTGGTAAATCTTCATATTCTTTTCTGGAATATTTTCAAATGGTTAAGCTTATTAAAGTCCAATTTCAAGAGTCTTTCATTACAAAGCTATAGGCATTTGATTTGTATTAGGACTCTCTTTCAAGCTAGACTTTTCAAAAAATTATTTTCTTTCCTCTGCGTTAACTTCGCCAAATTTCTAAGGTCATGGAGCTCACCCTATGGTAAACTTGCTTTTAATTCAGCATTTGTCAAGCATCTTAATCAAATTGATTGATCTGAATATGCCTTCATAAAAAAACAGCGGTACATAAAGATGGTATTATTTCTACTTTTCCCCTCTGTGTATGTGTGTGCTCCCAGACAGCTTTTCATTCTGTTTTATTCAATTCAATTCAATTGCAAGGAGCCAAAACAGATACTTCTATCTTTATCTGTTAAAAAAATTCTACATGTTAGCTCATTCTGAAGATCTCTTCCAAACAAATATGCCTGTTGAAGTAAGATGCATATGTTCGCAATGGTATCCCCAGATTTTAGAAAACTTATAGGTACTTCTACTCAACTAGCAAAACATCAATTGTTTGAGTTGGTTGGTCAACTAACGTGCAAGTTTTTTGACATTAAACTTTCACCTCCCGAAGGAACAAAAAAGATAAAGACGACTCCAGCCTTCTTTTGTCTTTTCTCTAAATTTGTTTTCTCCTCATGGGTTAGATTTTCTCCTGTGTATTTGATGTAACTTAATGCTGGAACTCTTATTTCTCATTTGTGATGCAACAAGCTGCACATCTTCAATAAATTCTTGCAAACCGTTTTATTCATTGTTAATTGTTATGAAGAAGACAATCTGTATTGCTGTGAAATACTATTGCTCAATGTTTGATCAATTCATTTGATCCTGAGTCTTTCTGATGACTACTAAATTAATGCCTGGGGATTTGTTCTAGGTTGTGGTGAGCTTATGGATTGCTGCTATTATTGGAAGCTGGTGCAATTTTTTGACTGTTCTGTACATCGGTAAGAGACCATTGATTTTATATTTGTTCTGAGTTGTCAAGGTTTTAGTTGGGAGTATTCCTATTTTTCTCTACAACTCACATCAAGCTTCAGAACGGTTCTAATTTTAGCTATGCTTGCGATGTTGAATGTTTTAAGGCTTTGTTGCTGCGCACACGCTCCCAGTGCTGTATGAAAGATATGATGATAAAGTCGATGGCTTTGTATATAATGCCCTCGAACGACTTCAAGGCCATTACAAAAAGCTGGATCGTGGTATCCTCAGCAGAATCCCGACGGGCAAATTCAAGCTAAAGAAGTTTGAATAGATTCATTAGCAGAAAATGAACTTCTATGCAGAACGTATGAAATACTTTTCCTGCTTAGGCAGCAAAATGCTGCTTTTAAGCTTTAGAATTAGTTAAGGTAATGTCTCAATTAGTTCACAGACAATGTATTGAACGTTAGATGGCATTGGAGAAACTTTATTTGCCTAATTATCTTAGTTGGATATGGCATTTGAAAATAACTTGCTTTTTATTCTCCTTTTCTTACTATCTATCATCTGTGGTTGTAGTATTTTAGAAGCATACTTGCATCGTAAATTATATTGAAACTTTGTGGGAAAATGATGTTGTATAGCCGCTTTCAAAATAATAGCCGAAAAAATGTATATATTTCGTATACAAAATTTTAATACTTTTTCGGCTACCGAATGTAAATAGTTTTTGGCGTGGGCTAAAAGTGATAATATCCCTAAATTGGTATAGGGCAAGGGCTTTAAAAATGTCCAAATTTGTTTTAAAATTTTTGATTTGGGTGAAGTTTGGTTTGAAGATGAAAATTTGTTTGGACATAATTTTTCGTAACTTTTTTTTTTTTTTTTGAAAAAACATGAAATGTGTTATGAAACAATAAAAGAAGAAGAAGAGTATTGCAGAGAAAAGTAAAGGGAGAGAATTCTTATTGATTTTGGATGAATTACAATAGAATAGAACCCTCTATTTATAGGGAAAGGGTGACTTAGCCACCAAGCAATGAACCCTAGAATCTCTCTAAATATAGACATTCACCATAAATAAAATTCTATTTATAACACTCCCCCTTGAATGTCTATTCAGCAGATAATGTGCCTCGTTAAAACCTTAACAAAAATAAAACCCAGTGGGAAAAAAATTCTAGAGAAGGAAAAGAGTACACATATATACAATACGCCTTTTGGTTGCCTCGTTAAAAACCTTGCAGGGAAAACTCAATGGGACAAAACCTTGTAAGAGAAAAAGAGTACAACGCATATTAACTCCCCCTGATGAGAGCATCAATTCACATCCTTAAGCATTTGCATTCCAATCTTGTGCACCATCTTCAAAAGATCTTTGGTAGACAATTTGATAAACAATATCAGCCATATTAACTTCAACGAATTTGTTTCACCTTGAAATCATCATCCCTGATAGATGTATTGTCTTCATATGATCTTGTTAGAATCATCATTTCAATATCTTTACATAGGGGTGAAAACTCTTGCTATCATATTATCATGCCTATAGTTATAGCAAGATACATTTGTGTACAAATTGCACTGAGGAATTGGTACTTCAAGATCAAGAATTGTATATGCTTCAAGCAACTTAAATCCTTCATGGATTGTCATATAAATTAAGGCATATAAGCCATATAGTAGACTTTAGATGCATATCAAGTTTTCATGTCATGCTAGACATATAAGATATCGTAAACTGATTGCACATACCATTGACTTTATACTTTCAAGTGTTTGAACAACATAGACAAAACTATATGTCTTTCATATGAAACCAATTGTATTCGAATTGTTTCTTCAGACTTAAGATCCTCATATATATATTTAGCGCTATCATAGATGTCGTCGACAAACATTTTATATCAGTTTTAATATTTTTTCATAAAGACATAACATAGAGATCTCTTCATTCATATTTTTAGGTACCTGAATCTCTCATGAGATTTTATGAAGTGTTATGTCATGTGATCTTCTAGATCACTTGCCTCCTTTATTATGATCATTTAGATCATTTGCTCATCTTCTTTATCAAGAAGTTTATTTGAAACCGATTTGTCTATACGCTTCAAGCGTACCATAGACTTTGTCCTTCTAGGACTTAATAGGAGCATTAGCAATGAGAATATAGTTACTTTCTTTGGGTCAGCAAATGCGTCTGACATGCTTTGCAATATATTGCAAATGAGTTATCCTTTTATGAACTTCAAGTTCATATTATTTTATTCGGGGATCTAGATGTATGAATGATAATTCATTCCATGTAATTTTTTCTCAACTGTTGTATCTTGTCTCCCCCTCATGTTAGAAAAACTAACTTGTTTCCTCAACTTTGAGAACCCATCTTTGTGCGTTATGGTCTTAATCAAAATATACATCGCACATCAATAATAATAAGATGGAATTGTTTGGTTCCTGACCCTGAACCACTTGTGAGGGGAGAATGTAATATACTTTCGTATATAACCTATATCAAACTGATATAGATAACTTTGTTCTCATAAGCAATAGTTTAGCTATTAAGTAGAGGCACTTAAATCATTTTGCTAAACCAACTGTGATGTAAACCAACTTATCAAGATGAACTTCTTGAATAGAAAATCTGGAAATTATGCTCGAAATTAAATTATTGAGCAAGTTACCTCGCAAACACCATGTTGAGGGTTAATAATAATCGCACATGTAACCATCTCATAGATTCATCTTATGTGGTATACATGACAGCTGAATGTGCCCATATTCACCTTTGATATTTCCAGCATTCATGGGATTCAATCCCAATTTTAGTTGATCTATTAATTAATGAGAACAAGCAATATAAGAGAATTCGTAAAGAACTTTCTAGTTCTTTAATATTTACCCATGTGAATTCTCTATTATTTTTGCACATCATACTTAAATTGATATGGCTAAACCAATTATGCCAACTGAATAAATTATCAATATTGATAAACTTCAGATTTACCCCATGACGTGTACAATTATCAATAAACTCCAAGTTTATTATGATATGGGTTTTTATATCAATAAATATCTATTTCATTGTGGTATTCTTTTATTTGTGTAGTACAAATTGGAGAATAAAGCGGGTAGCTTTTCACATACATATTATCCCGCTACAAGTTGTAGTAATAGAAGATATTAAATCTTTCCTTTATTTATAGTCTTAATATAATCAACCACTTTCGCGTATACTTTGGAAACTGAATAAGTTTCTTTGAGACTTACTACAACACAATACCTTATTGGTAATCAATTGTGTTTCTCCAAAATAGTAATAATTGGCTCTTCCAGAGCTCTCAATTAATTTGGTACTACCACATATTCATCAACATCCATATGGTGAATATCTCTTTTAAGGAGAAAGTTATATCATTATGGTCATGGTCAAAATTATATGCAAGATATGTTTCTTGCATTATTGTTGTCCTTTAATAATCACATTGCCAAAATATTTTGGCGTACAATAGGTACATGACCAATAACTTCATGCCATAATAATGATATTATTTTCTTATATCATCTCAAACCTCCTTCTAGAGGTGAGTGTGGTATATTCACTACCACTAGCACGTTCATATTCTTTGAAGAATGAATATGTATTCATAAATCAGATGTTGTCACATTCACATCATGAATGGACCATAGTCATCTGTATGTGCTTTACGAAATCTTATGTCAAATCGATGACAAATATTACTTTCACAAAGTGAAGGATTATTTTGAGAATCCTTATTGTTCTGATTACCGCAATGATGACGATTATAATTTCGTCTATTGCCACGTCCATATCCATTGATACATTCATAGTAATAATTTTGTCTTCTTTCAGACTTATCACATACTGCTATCACATTCTCTTAAGGGAATGAGAATGGAGCAAATTCAATGGGACGGGTTTCCACTTTTTGTGCCCATAATCATATATGAATTTGATCATGGAAAGACATAGAAATTTTACCACTTTGGGTGGTTATAGTTTCTTTCAAACTCCATTAGAATTATTATCAAACTCTATTGTCTTTGCTTGTATATAAAATCAAATTATAGAATTTCAAGAATTTAAAAGAGAAAAATAAAGTAAAATACTTACCTTAAATCCAGAATTTAATCATGAAGGAAGTTCATGGAACGATTGACAATCATTATGCTCAATCCCAAAGCTTCTACTCAATTGGTTAGAGTCTCGTGCTGATAACGTGTTATGAAACAATAAAAGAAGAAGAAGAGTATTGCAGAGAAAAGTAGAGGGAGAGAATTCTTATTGATTTGGGATGAATTACAATAGAATAGTACCCTCTATTTATAGGGAGAGGGTGACTTAGCCACCAAGCAATGAACCCTAGAATCTCTCTAAATATAGACATTCACCATAAATAAAATTCTATTTATAACAAAATGTGACTTATACCCATTAGTTCTAAAAACTATCAAGAATATCCAACAATACCAAACAAACAAATTTGCTAATATAGATGCCATTCATTATCATTCTCACAAACCATAGTCCTAAACATAGATAAGTTTGGCACAGAATTATCATTTTTATAAAGAACTACATAATACACTATCCTAAAACCTTAACTTAATATTTTAATATCAACTACTAATAACACAATTACTAGCTACTATAATTCGTCAAATTACAATAATATACAAGATCCATCAATCCAAAAGAAAATGATAGTAATTAGCTAGTGGATTAGTTGAGTCATAATAGATGGTGGGCTTTTTTATAAAATACAAAAATTTGGGGTAGTTTTTGAAATTGTAAAAAATCCAACAGTAATATTTTGGGCCAAAAACTGGTCTAGAACTAGTTTTGGGATTTGAAAATTTTGTTTTCAAAATCTGTCAAAACATGGATAAAATCTATAAGCAAACATATTTTGCCAAAAAATTTTTGGAAAAAACTTAGCAAAATCTATGGCCAAACGGTGTCTTAGTATCATCATTTCTTTTAAATTTTTTCAGAGTTACTGGATTCTGCATGGGTGTGATTGATCATACATTTTTTTAAAATAAAAAAGCGTATCTTTTAATAAAAAAATTCTTTTTCTTTTGTATAATTACTTCTCTCAATAGAAATTCTTCTGCATATATATAATAGAGGCCTTGAATTTGCGTGAAACTTAATTTGTCACGCCCCGAACCTGGGCCTGGACGTAACACGACACTCGATGCCTGACTACATGTGACCAAGCGAACCAACTGGCTGGCTGAATCAACATGTGGTATCATAACATACTGAATGCAGAAGATAAACTAACACATGCTAATATACTGAAAGTCTGGATGATATAAATCAAAGTGCGAAAATACTAATACAATTTGGAAACATCTTTGTAGCCAACATTGCTTAACATGAAAAGCTTGTGACTCTGTCTAACTGTTACTCTAGTCTATGAAGCCTCTAATGAAGTACTGAAAACACTGACTGCCGGTAAATACTGAAAGACCGTAAAGTAATGATAATGCCCCGAAAGAACTGGGGATCACCAAACAGC